GCAAAGTTTGGTCTTTCTTGCCCTTATAAAAGGCAAATTTTGTCAGTACCTCCATCCCAAATCTTAGAATTTTTGAAAAATGAAGCTGTCGAGACATCCCAATCTTAGAGGGATGCTTTTGTATCTAAGCCAGTAGGCTTCCACAAAAAAAAATAAAAATAATTAAGCTTCCAAATCCCCTTGTTATTGTGAAATGAAGAGGATTCGGGGTGAACTATGAAGAGTGAAGATCTTGATACCATCACAATTTTATTTTATTTTTATTTTTTCCTTTGCCGAGGTTCGACGGAATATATACTTCACCATTGCGAGTGTTATAACAAATATTGTGATGGTTTGTGTATTTAATTAATTTAACCATAAATTATGGAGAATAGCCTTTGACAAATTTCCTAACATTTCAAAAGAGAAAAAATACTTCCGTAGCCGCTGGAATCTTTATACGTTATAGTATCGAGAATAAACCAGATGCCATACACCAGTCCTACAACCAATGATTTGAAGTGAAATAGGTTTAACCACAAATTTTGGACATAAAACTTTGCCGAATTTCCTAAGTAATGTTATTTTTTTTTATAAAAAAAAAAACAGGAATAAGAAGTAAAGATAATATTTCTACATTCGGGGTTTGGAAAAAAAAAAAGGAAAAGAAAAGTACACAAAAATATTGCTATTGTCTTCTGAATTCTGATTATTATAATTAACTATGCACAAATTTTGCCTAAAATTTCTCAAAGAAAAATAATAAATGTAAAAATGATGTTTGCGTTGCCGGGGTTCAAACCCGGATTCTTTGGTTCAGCAAGAATTAACCAGTGCTACAACGGATTACTTGAAATAATCTGTAAACTTAATTAATATAAACATAAATTTGGGGGGTAACTTTGGCTAAATTTCTTAAAATTTCTCCAAAAAAAAATAATTAGAAAAAGATATTTCCGTTGCCAGGGTTCGAGAACCTGGATTCTTCAGATGATCAAGAATTAAACCAGTGCTACCACGGATGATTTGAAATAATTTGTAAATTTAATTAATATAAACATAAATTTGAAGGCTAACTTTGGCTAAACCTAAATTTTCTCGGAAAAAAATAATAAAAGGAAAAAGCTATTTCTGTTGCCAGGGTTCAAACTTGGATTCTTTAGCTTATCAAGGATTAACCAGTGCTACAACGGATGATTTGATATAAATATTGATATTAATTAATTCAACTACAAATTTTGGGCAGAAACCTTTTCCAAATATATTATTATTTGTAAAATTTCTAGAGTAAAAAAGAAAAGAAAACAAAAATAACGCCGGAGTTCAAACCCGAAATATATAGTTCGTTAAAAAAAAAATTACGAAATAAGCATTAAGCTCAGTTTCAAATTAAAGTGTTTTGTCTCTGGAATTTCAAGCCGGATTCTTTTACTTTCATCCAAAGATAATGCCAGAGTGCTAGAACGGATGATTTGATCTTTCTCTTGTTGTTAATTTAGTTTTAAAAATAATAATTTCTTTTTTTTTTTTTTTGGCTACTAGGTTAAGACTCCATATTCAGCAGCAGTAGTAAATTTTCCCGTTGCGCGGGCAGAAGTCTCAAAGCCAAGAATGAATGAATGAGAAAAGTGCGCAAACTAAAATCTTGAGGCAAGAAATTAGAGTGATATACTACACCAAAAACACATATCCAAATCACAATAAAACTGCCAGAATTAAAGATGTTCCACTAGTAAGAAGAATTGCATATGTTTCATACTAGGAAAAAAAAAAGAAAACGCATCAAATCACTGTAATGAATTTATTTGGCAGATCCTTTTATTTGGACTGGCATCATAATGAAAGTGATAAAGGGATCATCAAAACAACACCAAGAAGATTTAACCCCCAAAAAAGAAAAATGAAAAATCCTCCTAATAAGTCAAATCTAATTTGGAAATCAAAGCTTTCCACCGCCATCAAAATCGGCTCATCAGCTAGCTAGCCATGCAGTAAAAAAAAGTAAGAAGAACCTTTCAAACCAAAACCAAAAATAAAAAAATAAAAAAAAATCCTTCTCGTTCCCCTACAAATGAAGAGATAAGTCAAGCTTATTAGGATCCTTACTACTATCCCTATCATCAACCCCACAGCTAAGAGTCTTGTTATTCAATGTGGAAGAAGCCATTTGAGTACTACTAATATTACTCCTCTTATGCCAATTCGATAAGCTTTGATGTTCATCTTCATTTTGATCATAAGGGTTGTTGTTGTTGTTGTTGTTGTTCAAATAGTTGCAGCGGTATAAAACCATGTTTTCAAACTTTGGTGCAGAAGCAGTATTATTGGGTCCAAAACGATTGGGAGAAGAAGAAACTTGTTGATGTTGTTGTTGTGGGCCGGTTTGAGGATTGATTTGGCAAAAGTTTCCAGCATGGGCTGTGATGTAAAGTGAAGGGTTAAGGAATCCAATGGGATGATGATGGCCATGGTTTGGGTGGTTTGGAGCAAAAATCAATGGAGGTTGTGGGAGTGATGATAATGATGAGTAGCTGTGCAAATCATGGTGTGAAGAAACCCGCTTGTTCTTCCTTGCGGCACTCCTTTCTTTCTTGTGGGCATTTTGGTGACCACCTAAAGCTTGGGAGCTGTGGAACTTTCTTGAACAGTATAAACAAGGGAATGACCTGGTTGAATCTTCTGCATTATTACTACTAATATTTGGTGGTGGTGTTGTTGAGATATGGACTCCATTTTCACAACTCATGCCTGTCAAAATTAAACCAACAAACAACAAAACAAATTATATTATTAAGACTGGAAAAATTGAAGAAAGTTGATGTTTATTTCTACACCCTGGCAGTATGGTGTATGGAAGTATATATACAAGGAGATGGTATAATATAAACAAATTAACAAACCTTGAAAAAAGGGGTTGGGGTGGAGGATCCTTTTTTTTTTTTTTTGGCTTTGATTTAGGGAGAAATGGGGAAGGAAGAGGAACAGAATGGGAACAAATTCTTGGAGACTTTTGAAGTGGGTTTTATTAGGAGTTTTTTGATCTGATCAAAAAGGAGTTATAGTAAATGCAAAGGGGCTAAAAGAGTTCAGAAACCAGTTATGGGGGTATTGGGAAATGTGAAGCTCTCTGTCTTTGTTTTTTCTTTCTTTTTTTTTTTTTTTTTCTTCTTTTTTGGGTTTGGGTGGTGTAAGAAGTAGAAAGAAGGATCATTAAAAAGAGTGCATTGGACAATAGCAAAGATAGCGTATGGGCGGGGCCTGTTGGAGTTGGGGGATAAAGTCCAGAAGCATCATCATCATCATCCTGTTCCAGTGTATACGTTTCTCAAGCTGAATGCTGATCAGAAAATCAGAGAAAAAGAAAATACAGAAGAGGATTGGCAGAGAAAGAGGGAAAGGTAGATAGATACACATTTGTGTATGTAAGTACAAATGGCTTGGGAAATGGAAACTCTCTAATATTGCAATATTATTGCATGCAATTTTTTCCAGTTCCTCTGACAGTTTATCTCTTGTTTTAACACTTGGGTTTGGCCATATTTTTTTTTGTAAGTGCAGGCGTCATCAAGCACACAGTCACACAGTATTTAATTTGTTGCCAAGTCTCTCATAGATATGTTTTGCCATTGGAACGTACGTCAGCAAAACTGCAGAGCTACTGCGCCTTCTGGTGCGACTTCCTTTCTGGTTAAGACTTAAACATTGTTTTTATTATTTCCAAATCGCAGCTACCATAAATTTTGTTGACTTTTTTTCACTCCTTTTATAAATAATTGAGATCAATAAGTTGTGGTCTAAAGGTCTGTATGACATTGATCTTTTTGATGGTCTTTATGAAGAGGGAATGCCTAAAATGGCAATAAGAGTGTGGAAAAAGAATAGATTCCCAAGCAGTAATCGTCCTAAAAACCAAAAAGGGTCAATTGATTTCGTTAAGGAAACTGTAGTGGGGGATTCAAAATCAAAAGCAAAGGTGGTAGTAGTCCCCCACAATTGGGTCAGAGAGGTAGTTGTTGCCCTGAATTCAGCTTATCCCTCTTTATGCTTAAAAATGGCCTTTACGCTGTCAAATTTAACTTTACAATAAATGGAGTTATGGGTTTGAGGGAGAAGGATTCGTCCAATTGGGGGGGCTTGGGTTCATCTGTATCAATACATATATATATATCTATATATATATATCTATATATATATATATATATATATATATCTATCTCCATATCTGACATTTCCACCGCCATTTTCCATGCAACTTGTTTCTCCTTCCATCCATTCCCTGCATGCCTCCTGGCCCCAATTCACACAAACACTGAAGATTTTTATTTTTTTTTTCCCATTTATTTTATAATTACCAAAAAAGCAGCACTGAATTCTCTGAATCATGATACTGATGACTGATCATTCCCAGCGCGCCGCGGCATTCACACAAAACAAACTCAACGTCACGCTCTCACTTTGGTCGCCTTCTATATAGCTTTGGTTGAAAGAAGACAATGAATGAATCCCAGGGCCAAATTCCACCGTTGTGAACACTAGACAATTCAATTAGTTTCCGCCTCAAATGTCTCCGACCAGAAAACCAAGTATGTAACGTTGCAAATATCTTCAATATTTTGACAGTGATTCTTTGGCCAGTTGCAGAAACGCGGTGCGTTGGAATCTTGTAATTCAGCCTCCCGAAATTAGACCGGCAGACCTTCTCATTTCAGGTGCTTTGAAGTTTGAAGTCACAACACGTCAAAGAGCTAATTTTTTTTGCAATTGCGCTAAAATGACACTAACTTTTTTTAATGTTTTAGGATTTTAGTGAATGAAAATTACCGCTGCTGCGAGAACGAAAATCTTCACTTTGTACGATTTCCCTGACATTGCCACCGCATACTCACTTTTTAAGGTATCTCAACTCACTAACCATACTCATCAATTGCCAAATTGTTTCTTCTATCTCTAGCTCAGGAATACTAGCCACTAGATTGGCTAGTCACTAGTTATGCAAAAAGAGCTTTTATTTGCAGACCAGCGGTAAAGGTTACATGACAGCAAAGGAAATAGCAATACCATATTTCATCATAAACATGAGAAATGAATTAGTGTAAGAAAAATAAATGGACTACAAAATAATGATTTTAACAAAACAGATTACCTTTAACCAACCAAACATAATTACATAAAATATACACTAAACAATGACAGAGACATATATATCGACGTGAGCATTTTATGCCCAAAGAGCAGCTGAAAGAAGACTAAACAATAATAGACATGTAAATTGAATTGAATATAAATGACCTAGGAACAGCCGAAGCATTTCCTTATAGAGAGGAAACTTGAAGTCACGGGTACTGATTCTGGCTCTAGTTTTTTCCGAGGAAGGTGTTTGAAAAATGCTCTAACTGCTCCAGTTACTCCATCTTCATTCTCCATAGCCTTTGCAAGTTCAATTGCACGCTGTTTAACCTGTACATTGTCGGAGCGCAGTAGTTGAACATGGATTTTCTCAGACACTAAGAAAAAGGTTGTTGGGTGAAAAAGGTTGTCATTCAAGTACCTCTGGATCTAACATGAAGTTAATTGCATCAATTAACTTCTGAAGTGAGAATTGGTCAACTGGTATAGGAGAAGGACCAACACCTCTAGCATGCACTCTCTCCCCCCAGAATGGTTGATCACCAAAAAATGGTACAATAGTTGTAGGACACTATACATCGAGGAAAAAAAAAGTTGTGACATCTCAAAAACAGCAACATGGATGTCTGAGATAGACAACATCATAGCAGTACATACCGCAGCTTTGAGACCAGCAGCCGTTGTCCCTGCCCCACCATGGTGAACCTGGAGAAGAAAGTAATCCCATAAAAGAGATCATTATATCGCCATCAAAGACATTGAAGAAGAGCTAAATGCACTTGAAAATCAAACCCACTTATTAATAGCAATCTAGTTTAATCAGAGTAAAGAACTATAATTGTGTTTCGATCAAATTAATCACAGTTGACAAACTCATTAATAGGCAAATCCTCACAACGACCGACTTCCGTAGCAGAAGCTACTAGGAAATAGTCACTCTGTAATCCAGTTTATTCTACCATGAAGCAAGCATGTAAATAATAATTGTGAGAATCATTGAGAGTTTTCACAGTAAACATCGTGCAGTAATAATCATTTATGTTTCGAAACTCGTAAGATTTTTCTTATGCAAGAATTACAAAGTCTACTCAGTAATAACAAGAGCTCACCACAGCAGAACATTGCAAAAATAGCCAGTCATGAGGGATGTTGTCCAGTGAGTAAACAAAGTCCTTTGGTTCTGCCACTTTAAATAGAAGTTCATCTTAATCAAAACAATATACACTTTTAATTAAGAGAGACAACTTAACAAAACTGTAACTATTAATGCACCAACAAGCAAGCTGAGGAAGCAGAAACTTACAGTTACCAAGCCCTCCCCATCCTTTGTTAATGATGCCTCTTTGACCTGTTTTTTCCAAAGCTTCAACTATGATTTGTGTCATTTTCTCTGGATCTTGAACAGGCTGTGAAAAAGGAATTAAATTAAGTGAATATAAATGTTGGATATGGTAGGAAGTAAGCTAATGTGCAAGAACAAGCCACATAACAAACATCGATACTGCAAAAAACAAAAGAGAGCAAAGTTCAACAAGTCGGACATAAATAAAAATAAAAACAAACACTCCACAAAAGTCAAATGTGATTGGGAAGATCTGAAGAGATGATTGTTTAGTGCATACCCTAGACAAAGTGTTGAAAAGTTGTTTCGTTAAACTGGACCAATTCATCAATTAATTACTTTAAAAGGGGGAAAAGGATATCAATTTAACTGGTCCTGGTTTTGGCTATACAGGGAAGATCTGAAGAGATGATTGTTTTCTGAAATGATTATCCGAATATATTTTAAACCGTATTATTTGATCCTAATAGCCAACCGCATTCCAAGCTTAAGGAATAGCACGATATAGAAACAGCAGCACATAAAATCTAAAAGGCAAGACCTCAAGTGGAAGAAAATCATCAATAACAAATAAATGGGCTGAGCTTACAAGGCTACCGAACCCAATGTAAATGGGCTTTGGGCCAGCATTAAGCCAATTTACAAGTGGTTCAGGAGGTTGATAATTTGATGCTAAATCCAAGAAGCAAAAACCCACAACGTCAACCTTGGGTCCCCAATCTGCATGAAAACAACCGTGCATGGGAGTTAAAATACTTAATTCCAACCAGCAACAATCATCTATTTGTTTCTGTGTTAAACACAAAAATGAACAACAAATAAAATAGAGACATAACTTTTATGATAGAGTTGCATGAATGAAAGGAAAACCTTTTGGTTTTGGAACAAGGTGAGGACTCCATATGTAACCATGTGGAATATCAGATTCAGATCCTTGTGTACCACTTAAATAAGTGACTGGTCGAAGCTTCAGCTTTTTCTTCCTTAAATCATTGATCATATCCCTTATACCTAGCCAAAGTAAGGAATCAACGATCTGATATGATAGCTGCAGAATTTATAAACAAGAAATAGTTACTCACAAAGAAAACAAAGTTAACTGAGATAACAAAGGAGATGAAGTTTTCAATAAAAGAAATTAAAATCTTAAAACATTTTTACAAAATGGAGGACTACACCAAGATATTTCAAATTAAGATTAAGAGATGCCGTTTACACATGAAGAGGAACTTACTCGGTAGCCTGCCGGTTGCTTAACACGAGATAATGGATGAGGAAATTCACTGGTTGGCCTGTTAAAAATAAGCAAGCTAACTTTCAATACACTCAAATAGTAAAATGTCCTAAAAAAAAAAAAAAAAAACTCAAATAGTAAAATGTTGGTTCCATGTGGTATGATGACAAGTAGGTCTAGCTGAGCTAGGGAATAGAAACTACGGATACATTTCCAGAATTAAATAAATCACACGAACTTACGTCCATGGCATAGTGAAAAATATATGAATTGGTACTTTTAAGGCCTCTGCAACATGGATATGCCCTGTGACATTAGAAGCATGAGTCAGGATAATGTTTTGTTGAATTCCACATTCCATGCTAAGAATGATTGGAATCCACATTTCAAAAAAAAAAAAGGATAATAAGCAGACAACTAAAGAAAAGCAAAAATTAGTCTACTACATTAAAGATAGAAGGAATGTGATAAAAGCAAGTTGATAATCCCCAAAAAGGGAAAAGGTTGCAGAGACCACCAAACTTAGAACAATGTCTTTTCCAGTAAAAGATTGCATGTTCAAAATAGAATAATATCATCCAACTTAACAAATTAGACATCATTAGTGAGTACATGCAAAAATGTTACAAACTAACATTTCCACCTCTAGGAAGAACCAATGGGAACCATTTAAACACCCAGTATGCTAACGAATCTGATCAGGAATAGGAGTGAGTCACAGAACATAGATCTACTGCGTGATTAGATTTGACCTGATTTGACTCAACCCCAAAGACTTTATCTGTATCATCAATCCACCATCAATCAAAACTAAAAACCAGTGACCAGTCTACCCAACCAACCATTTGGACAGCTAATTCTTTAAGATTTCCCTTAAATTAATTCTATCATGCAGCTATTTATTGGATATAACAATCACGGGATAAAGAATTCATCATGTGCAATGATTCCAAAGAATAGTAATGATAAAGATAATCGAGGAATGAAATCTAACCATATGCTGGGGGGTTAGCAATGATTGCATCTGCTTTAAAGGGAATCCCAGTATCAACATCAGGTTCTTTGCAAGCAGGGAGCAGTGAAAAAATTATTTCCTTCATTTGGTTCCGCTGAGCGGGTATTTCAGAAGGTCCGGACGGCAAAAACCCTTTGTTTTTAACCATGTCTGCCAATAGGGAAACAGAGTACTAAGTGAAGAGTCATTTTGGAAGTCAGCACGACATCAAATTGTAATTAGTTAGAAATACGCACAACCACAATAGATGCAACGAATTAGTATTATTTGGTAACAGTCAATCGAGATGGGAAGAAGAATAATTGTCAAAGAGGTAGTTCACGATTTAGTATATGAAGAACGCACATCCAGCAAGGACTTTGGGGTCACCGCCAAGAGGATAGAATTCCAACCCAGAAGTCAAAACAAACTCTTTGAAATTTGAGTGAGTTGCCAGTCTTACACGATGGCCATAGTCCTGCAATGCTGAAAATTGTTATGGATTCAATAGTGGAATCATTCCTAAACTTCATTGAGAAACTTTACTTAACAGCAACAAATAAATTGTATGAACATATTCGCATAAGATGCATCTTCAAATGGAAGCTCACATTAACCATGAGCAGAAGTCTAAGACCAGACAGATAATCATCAATCAGTTTCACAATCTTTTAGTTAAGTTAATATGAACCAGAATCTTCCTCAACAAATAAAATAAAATAAAATAACATACGGACCAGAATCTAGCAAACAAACCAAGTAATCTAGAGGCATAATACACTGATGTAATATGCTACCAGAGCATAATGGTTTAGGGTGAAGCTACTACAGCTCCAATCACATGCGGTACATGTTTGATAAAATCTAGAGTATCCCCTACACCAGGGAACTCTAAAGTACAAAAGTGTACGCACGTGCACCTTCTAGTCTTGTCATTGGGAAAAATACCTGAGTGTAAGCACAGTAATGGATATACTGGGAGACAAAAGGTCCACATAGCACATAACAGAGAGCATTCAAACCTCAAAATGATTTTTGGTAAACTGATTAGTGATTACTCATTTGTTTCATCAATAATAATAGCCAAACTAAGGCATGGTGATCAAGAAACAAAGTCTCTGCTGAATTCAACAATGTACCATGATAAAATGACAATAAGTTTTCTTTTTTTTAAGTAAATATTAGAATAATCTGTATGAGACATCAATAAACAGGAAGAGAAAATGAAAATGCTCTCTAGCCAAAATAAAATAATCAGTTCGCATCCCCACTTGGAGCAGTGCTGGAAGGAGATGATTTCACTGGAATGACTTTGCAAAAGTAAGAATCCTCAAGGAAAAGCCCGGCTATTGTTGGTGGCAATCATAACAAGACAGCTTGGCAATCATAAAGATCCATTTCCACAAACCTATGGAAGATCATGTATTAACCTTTTATTCTCTTTTGATGTCGATTCATTTTTTCTTTCCTTGGGATGGATGGGTGCCAGTGTTTTCTCTCTTTATTCACTAATGCAGATCAATTTCATCTGCCCTTTCTTCGAAGAAGAAGATGTTCTATTTTAAGGCCACACTACCTTCATAATAAATAAAAATTATTCTGTTTTTCCATTCTAAGAGAAAGCCCTCACTGCAATGCTGTTAAAAGTTTACTATGATTTTGAAAAGGAAATATGAAGAAAGAACTCTTGACAATGTGCTCAAATAACCTAATGGAAAAAAGAAGAGAAAATAGAAGGGGGAAAAAACTCAAGTGGCAATTAAAAATGAAATTGGAGAAATAAAAGCTCCAAAGACAACAATGCAGTACAACATGAGGAAAAGATTCTCAACACCCAAAAAGAGTGACTCAAATACACAAAGAGAACCACGAACCTGCAATTTCTTTCCAATTGCAATAAACGGCTGTACATCACCACGTGTTCCAACAATGAGTATCACAATCTGCATAGGTGGAATATAGTGTAATTCCGTATCATCAAGAGGCAATTCATCAACTTCACCATATGCATTTTCCCTTCTAATATCAGGGACCCGTTGTTCAATATCTCCAGGAACTTCAAATTCTACAGTTCCATCATCTTTTACAGTAGCTATTCTGTTCAACAATTTGAGCTGCAATTTTTAAAATGTTTAAAAAAATTGCACGTATGTAAGTATAATAATCTACAGTAAGATGATCCCCCAAAATTCAGAGGTTTCTCAAAATTACTAGTCTAATAAAATTAAGGATTGCATAAAACAAAGAATCTCAATATACACAATGAGTTTAAACGTAAGCCAACTCTTATATTACTCCGAAATGCTTGCTGACAGTTTTTAGGTGAAAAATGTAAAAGACATCAAGAGCACATCGGAATATGAAACCTAAAGAGAAAAACATCAAGAAGTGAATAAATTTTATATTCCAAGAAGGGCGAGCAGAATTCCAGAATCTACGAGGTTGGCGCCATAACAGCACTTAATTTTCCAGGACATATTGTTCAAGTTTAGAAGAACTCTTTCCTCAGTTTCTTAAAGTCTGCTTAAGTTGCACATCAAATTTAAGCTAACTCAGTTGACAGTGCTGGTTCACTATTTGATGGTTTGAAATCAAAGACCTACAGAGACAATATTTCAGGAAAAAAATGTCCTAAGGAAAACAAGAAAGTTACTTCAGAGCTTCCAGAAAGCTTAAACGATGAGGGGAAAAAAATAAAAAAAATGAGCAACTAGTAAAGAGAAAAAAATGTGATGTATTGTGCACTAGACAACTGATCTTAAGACAGAATAAGTGTCTTAGCTGTTTAGGAAAGAAAAATTGCCACTCCTACTGGAAACAGCCAAAAACAAAATACAAATTTATTTGATTAAGTGCTGCTTTTCCTAGAGCTCCCAGATAGGCATAAGAATAAATATTCATAATACATTAGTTCATTCAAGTTCACCAATATACTACAAATGAATATTGAGTTGTATTTATTGTCACCAAACCTTGTCTATACCTTCTAAATTTTGTATTCGTACGTAACTATCATTAAAATGTGAAGAGATGAAATTGAAATGTAAATCTTACTTAATTTGCCAAGTTCAAAAAAGCATCGCCAACTACCACAGTAACAAACTGCTACACTCTTATGGTTACCAACAGGACAATAAAACCTGAATGGAAGAGAAACATTATCTAAATACAAACTGCCATGTGGTGCTGTAACCTTAACACTAAAAACCCCTATCAGGCCTGGTCTTATCAATGATCAACCTCCGAGTAAAAAAATGAACTACCAACCTATCAGCATCAGCCACTAATATCCTAGTTCAAAAGCTATGTAAAGAAAAACTCACTTCCAGTAAATTTGAAGTATTACCTTCTGTTGCACAGGAATTTTGTCATCAAAAATTTGCGCTGCCTCTTCGGAAAGTATATTACGATGTCTCTGCCTCTCGGTTTTCGATCTCTCCAACCTAATGTTATTTACAGGTGGTTCCGATTTCTCCAAGTTCAGAATCTCTGGTGGCAATGTATTTGCTCTTGAAAAACTACCCCCAGCTGTTCCTGACGCATTAATTGCCATAACTTGCAGTTAGACCAATTGAACAAACGATAACAACTACTCTTAAGGTAAGGAATGAAAAGAAAATAAAGGAACTTCATCTCCACGGAAAATCATACCGAAGAACCTATATCGTAACCTCTCCAATTGCTACCTTAAAGAACATATACAATGTGTGCAGTTCAAATAAACTTGCAAGTACGCATTCCATTATCTCAAGTATTAGAAGAGCAATATAGCAAAGTGAGTAACCGCTCACAGCGGCCAATCGGAGTTCAATTTTCAGATATCTCGGATTCTACGGGTTAACGACGTTCAGCATAGACCTCTATCAGTATAATTCAATTGTTAACACACCTGAGGAATCGCCCCTGCCATTCGAAAATGCAGCAAGAGTGCCACGGTCTACCGCGTCTGCTTCTGCGGCATCAACATTTTGACTACTGTCGACTTCAACCTCCTCCTCATATCTCACGGAGACTTCACTGGAACTTGAAGAAGTGCTCGCCTGATCAACTTTAGGCAGCACGTCCGCCATCGCCTGCTCCGGCGAAGTTTGGCTTTCCTGCAGCTCCTTGGGATCCAGATCTGAGCAGCTTTACAGAATTCTGATGATATCTACGTTACATGTATTTAGTGAATTACAACTCTAAAGTTTGAGATGAAGTACTGAAAGAATTGAAGAATAAGAAAAGGAAAAAAAAAGTAAAAAAAAAAATCAGCACATTCTCGAAAAAGTTGGGAAAGGGTCTGCCCAGATTGTGCGGAGGACACGAATTAAATGCAAGGATGCAAGAAGCAGACCACTGCCTAATCATCAGGGTTATTTTTGGTAATATGCTTTTATATTGGTGGGAATCTATTTCTAATTTCATTATTCTGTTGCACACAGGGCTTGTGTCCTTCCTTCTCTTTTCTCTTGAGCGTTGAAGAAATGAAGGGAAAAAAGTGAAATTTCATTTTGGATTAGATCACAAAGAAGTTACTTTCTTTCTTTTTTTTTTTAAGAAATAAAAAATAAATTCATTAATTTACTATAAATCGTTTAGCAGCGATTGATAAAAGTAAAATACAATCATAAAAACACAACTTACAAACAATCACAATGTCATTGTTGTTGTGTTTTATTACATGGATAAACCTATATTTATTTATTCTATAAAATAAAAATTATACCACGTGCTAGATTTTTAATCCGGTCGAGAAAGTTACTTTTTCTTTCATTGTAAGTCTAAAGATGCAACAAATTTAGCAGTTGAAATAGTTGTTCATTTCTTTTTTGGAACCACCTTAACATTTTTTCTAACTTGAACTTTTTATAAAATTATTACTTGAAAAAAAGGATTTTCGAGTAGGAGGGTTGGTTGGGGTAGTTAGGGAATTAAGATGGGCGATGGTTATTACCAGGAGGTTGAGGGTTTGATTCTCGCTGGGGCTATTCAATTTTTTTTAAAAAAAAAAGATTTTCATCTACATTTTATTACTCTGTCCCGAAAAAATAGTCAACGGTAAGTTTTTATATTTGTATTAAAAATAAAACACATTTCAAAACAAAATATAGACGACTTTTTTTCTGGGACGGAAGGAATATAGTTTTTGTTAGTTGTTCATGTATATATTTTGTTTCTCCCTTTTTATAGTTCCCGCGCGGGGCAATCAATCAATATATCCCTTTTACCCTATTAGAGCAGAAAACATGAATCTTATGTGTCAACTACGTATGCATCTGTTTTGGCTTCAATGCACCATATTTCAGATTTCATGAGTTTTTTTGCCACGTGTAAGTCTTTTTTAATTGAAAGCTATATAATTTTTTTTTAAAAAAAAAAACACGCATGTTTTACTACAAATAAGGATCAGTTACATTTCAAACGAATGGATATATTAATTCAAATTCAAATGTCCAATCGTATAGTTTTGCAGGTTTAATATAAACAAAAAAATAAAAATACCTAAATCCAGCAATTAAGAATAATGCCTTATAAACTAATTATTTATTATTCCCTTATAACCTCATATTTATAGGTATATTTTTTAAGCCCCACCCATAGCATAAATGATATATACGCCAAATTAATTTCTCAAAAAATAGTTATTCAATTAGATTTTAATAAAATAGTAATTTAAAAGGGGCGCCCGGGCATCTGCCTGGGCCAAACATCTAGTATCTTATTAAAACAGAAGTCCGAGGGAAAAAATGATGAAGTGTCGTGCTATGATTAAAAAATTTTTTTCCAACCCACATTAAGTCAAAATTGTGTCATTTTGATTAAAAAAAAAAAGACTTTAACCATATACATAAAAAAAAATCATATAAAAATTATTTTATTTTATTATGTGTGAGAGAGAAATTTGAATTATGTTTCACGCTCTAATTCAACATTTTCTTGCCATAAAGGAAAAAAACAATGTCCTATATAAAAAAAAAAATTATTGAAACTTCTCGGGTAAAATACCAAAACAATCTAACAAAAATATTTTCTTACATTCAACTCAATCACTCTAATACCAATCTCATTAAAAAATATTAAAATTTCACAAGTAAAATCATGAGGAAGAAATTAAGTAATATATTTTGCTTATATTCAAACTCAATCCCTCTAACACCAATTTTATTAAAAATACATTGAAATATCACGGGTAAAGTAATGAGAAAAATCTAAGTAAAATATTTTCTTAAATTCAAACTTAGACAAATTTTAATTATAATAGTGTTAATACCACTTAATTTTTACGTTGTCTTTTTTAATTTATTTTTTACTGTTGAATTATTTTTGTATCACCCGTTTTTTCTTTAGATTATATTTCATAATCAACCATTAATCGAGGACGTGACATTTTTTCGTAAATAATAATTGATTTAATAATACATTTTAATATATTTTGTGCAGTACACGTGAGAGAACCTAGTTTAGTATAAATGAACTCACAATTCTTTAAAGAAACATTTGTTTAACCTACATAATAAAACAATTAGCAGAGTCGTATAATTGATAGCGAAATTGGCTAAGGTTGGAACAGTTAAAAATTTTAAGAAAATTGGCAAAGGTCGCCTTAAGTTGTGTTTAAATTAATTATAAACTTACCAAGGACAAATCATCCGTTGTAGCACTGGTTATTCTTGATTACATAGAGAATCCCGGGTTCGATTCCTGGGCAAGCACTGGTGTATTCTTCATGTTAAAGAAACCGGGTTCGAACCCCGGCAACATCTCTTTTGCCTTTTTTTTTTTTTTGGGGGGTACAAATTTTAGGAAAATTTGACAAAGGTTACTCGCCTTAAGTTTTTACTAAATTAAATTAATGATGAACTCACTAATAACAAAAATCATCGGGAAATTTATTTTTAAAGAAGGAGATTGGCAGATTAAAGTTACTTCTCCTAAATTTGTGGTTAAATTGACCAAACTCACTAAATAACACAAATCATCACAGCGGAGATATTTTGTTTTTATTATTTTTGTCGTGTAGACACATTAAAGGAGATTTGCTAAGATTACAAGGAGGAGATTGGCTAAGTTTACAAAAAACAGTCCGTCTGTCTCTTAGCTAATCTATTTCACTGTTCTCATTTATACTAATCTACAACTAAATTCTCTACTTGTAAACCATAGAATAATAAAAATAAATATTCACTAACCTACTTATTCTATTTTGCAAGTTTCTTAGGTTTTTTTTCATTATACTCCAATCTCCCTACATTGATCCTTTTTTGAAGACAGTCTATACTGATCCTTTGTTCTTTTGTACATACAAAATATTTTCTATTGTACTCCCTTTGCCCCAAAATTATTGTCCAGTTTGAGATTTCACTTTTAGTACAATTTGAACTAAAAATGAAAATCCAAACTGGACAATAATTATGGGACGGAGGGAGTATCTCTCAATGTTCAAAAACTCAAAACCTTAAAATCCCAATATTGAAATTAATGAATTTGCTAGATATGCAGCAGTTTCTTAATAAAATACAACTCGGTTGCACTTAAGATTTGGTCATATCTGAATGGGAAAAAAAAAAACAAACGTAAACATACAAAATACGACTCTTTTTTTAGTGTAGGATAATAATAGAGACCAACATTTAGGGATGGATTGTGTAAAATTAAACTTTATTCAAACAGTTAGCCATCTATATGTGCTATCAGCTGGACCACAAAAATAATTGTTATTGACAAAATACTTCACAGAATGCATAGACATTGTATGATGATGCATGTGCTATGATGGATTTTTGCAAGTCCTGGGAATACGTCTGCCACTAAAATCAAACAAATATTATGAACAAACAATAAGTCAACAATCATTCGTTTTCTTTTCAGACTGACGTGTTGATTTATGGATTAGCATTGTGACATTGTCCATGAACAAAAGTTATCCCGCCAATATACATAAATTCGGAACTCAATTTCCGAGTATCAAATTCGTTGCTGAAATTGCAAACTACTAATGTAACATCTTCATCCACTGTCTGCAAATTATCAGAAAATGGTTCTCGTCTGAAAGAGACATGCAGATAAAGTGGCTGAGACTCGTAAAGAATTTGGTGTTTAAAAACTTCAGAAAGGACTTTCAGAGGTTTAATGCATTAATTCCTCTTTCTTTCATACAGTAGTGATGGAAAACAAAGCAAAAAAGCCTTCTTTTCTCTTCTTGCAATTCAATTTTTGCCAATGGGTCGTCTTATCTTGTTGTATAGCCAGCGGGGAAAAAGAAAAAGATTATGTACCAATTGATAACATTCTGTTGAGGTGTGGAGCTCCTCCTAAAACTTCCGACACCGATGGCCGGACATGGTATTCCGATGTTGGTTCAAATTTCACTTCGGCCACGGATAGTTCATCCACCGTTTCCCGGGCTAATGTGCAAGACCCCTCTGTTCCTGAGGTCCCTTATATGCACGCTCGGATCTTCCACTGCCAATACACGTATCGATTTCCGGTGACTCCCGGCAGAATATTCATCCGATTGTACTTTTACCCGGGACCTTACACCGGCCTGAATCCCTCCGACGCCATATTTTCGGTGACTGCCGGATCATACACACTTCTGAAGAACTTCAGCGCAGCACAGACGGCTAAAGCATTGGAAATCAGCTACATTACGAAGGAATTTTCCGTTAATGTGCATTTCCAGGCGCTAAATCTGACATTCAGGCCTAACCCGTTTGGCGTAAAGAACAACTCGTACGGTTTCGTCAATGGAATTGAGATAGTTTCTCATCCTGATATTTACAACACCGAAAATGGCACCGGGTCCTTTGTTGGTCGTTCGGTGCCGTTTGTCATTGACAACAGGACCGCAATGGAGAATATTTACCGGCTAAATGTGGGAGGAAATTTTATATCGCCGGCCGATGACACGGGTCTTTTCCGGTCATGGCAGGTCGATTCAAGTTACATCTTCGGAGCAGCCTCTGGGGCTTATGGCAAAGTTCATCCAAATGTGACAATCACTTTTCCTCCAGGAACACCGTCTTATTTGGCCCCGATTGATGTCTACGCAACTTTTAGATCAATGGGTCCGACTCCTGCGGTGAATTGAAACTTCAACCTGACATGGATATTCCCTGTGGATTCAGGATTCTATTACCTGATCAGGCTGCATTTCTGTCAGGGCTCAAACGACGTTGTCGAAAACGAAGAAATTTTTGAGATCTTCCTCAATAATCAGACTGCTGAGAGAAGACTGGATGTCGTATTATTTGGAGCAGGAAGAGTTGGAGTCGCTTAGCATAAAGATTATGTAGTTTATGTTGCGCCAATTCATGGCCTCCCGCAGCAAGATTTATTTGTTGCTCTCCATCCGATCACCACTGATGCATTCCTGAATGGACTTGAGATTTTCAAACTAAATGATTCTACTGGAAATCTCGGGGGTCCTAATCCTGTTCCAGCTCCTCTTCTGGAAATTCCGCCACAACACCTGAAATCAATTTGTTCTTCTTGTACAGGCCATTCAAAGATTCAGAAAAGACTAATGATTGGAATTGGAAGTGCGATATTGTTTGCTGTAATCCTTTCGGGTTTCCTAGTTTTTGGTGGTCTAATCATTTATCGTCGCCGGAGGATCCACAAAACCAATGATCATCTGCCAGTTTTCTCAAAACATAAGCCCTGCCGCCAATTTTCATTAGCTGAAATCAAATCCGCCACCAATGACTTCGACGAGGCGCTCGTTACCGGGATGGGAGGATTTGGCAGAGTTTACAAAGGTGAAATTGACAATGGCAGCAAAACCGTGGCAATCAAACGTGGGAATTCACTTTCCAGACAGCGCGAAAAAGAATTTCAAAACGAGATTGATATACTCTCCAATCTCCGCCACCGCCATCTCGTTTCCCTGATCGGGTATTGTAAAGAAAACGGCGAAATGATCCTTGTTTACGATTACATGGCAAACGGAACCCTCCGGGAGCATCTGTATAAAACAGAGAAGCCTCCCCTGCCTTGGAAACAGAGGCTGGAGATCGTGGTTGGCGCGGCTCGCGGATTGCACTACCTCCACACCGGAGCAAAACACGCAATCGTCCACCGGGATGTGAAAACCACAAACATTCTCCTGGATGAGAAATGGGTTGCAAAGGTTTCCGATTTCGGGTTATCGAAAACAGCTCCTCCGCTGGACCATTCCCATGTAACCACCAATGTGAAGGGCACATTCGGGTACTTAGATCCTGAATACTGTTAAATAAATGAAAGAAAGAAATGAGCTCATGTTCCATAGTCCCATATGGATGGATGAAGACTCTTGAACATAAAATATATATCTTATGTGCTACTCTCCTCGTTACCAATTGGTTTTGAGGTGGAACCACATGTGGGATTATATGGGCCTTCAAGATGGTATTAGAGCGGGTTTTAATCCGCGGACCTGTAAGACATGTGGGGCGAGGTGGACTAACCCAGATTGGGTTTTGAAACTTTGGTGAACCCACGAAAGAAATTCGGGGTTTGACTTTGAACTTTGACTGGCCCGGCAGGTGACGGTTTATCCGGGAAGATAACCGATCGCAGGACTGAAAAAAAACAAAAAAAAACATAAAATTACCCGTTCAAGCCCATTGGGCTTGAGAGGGACGTGTTAAATAAATGAAAGAAAGAAATGACCTCATCTTCCATAGTCCCACATGGATGGATGAAGACTCTTGAACACAAAATATATATCTCATGTGCTACTCCCCTCATTACCAATTGGTTTTGAGGTGGAACCACACGTGGGATTATACGGGCCTTCAAGAAATACTTCATGTGGAGACAGCTCACGACGAGATCCGATGTGTATTCATTCGGGGTTGTCCTGTTTGAGATTCTGTGTGCTTGCCCCGCTGTTGACATGAACTCCGACGAGGAAATCGGGTTGGCGGGTTGGGCGGCGGAAAGCTACGAAAAGGGCGATCTTCATCAGATTATGGATCCTTATCTAAAGGGGAAAATTGCGCCGGAATGTTTCTTGAAGTTTGCGGAGACGGCGGTTAGGTGTGTGGCTGAAGTTGGGATTTCCAGGCCTTCCATGGGAGATGTGCTTAGAAACTTGGAGTTGGCATTGCAATTACAAGTGACTGCAGAAGAAGCTATTGGTAATGCTTCTGGCCATGGGGTTGAACAAGAGGAACTGGAGGCCAGACTGATCCAAATGCCTCACAAACCATGGTGAAGTCTTATTATGATTTGATTGATTTCCAGTTGGTTAGTAAAAGGATTAAACAGCCTTGTTACGTGTTACTTGTTCGCATTAAAATAAAGTGTAAAGAAAACAGACGTAAGAAAGTTGCTTCCTGTCAAAGACTGCATATCTGATGGAAACACATACAGAGTGTTGGCTTGTGCTTTTTTTGTTCTCTGTATTCTGTATCTATAATTCCACTAATTATAATTAGTTTTTTTTTTCCCTGGATTACTTATTTGTATTCCTTGTCACGTTTGTATTATGTGTATCTTATCTGTAAAACAATGTAATTTTGTTTGTATTAGTCAGTTATTCTTCGTCTTCTTTTTATAAATAGCATCAGAGTTAGCACATACTACAAGCCCGCATTCCGAGTACGTATGGATCATGGATGGGTATTGTTTTTTGAGAGATCAAAATATGTCGAAAAAGGAAGTCAAACCATGATTACTTTGATTTGATCCAATGACTGTGTTGTTGGTACGTTATTATTTCCTTTGAATGGAATAAACTATAAAACTTCCCTCTTTTCTTGTTGAAGTAAATTCTCGTCAAGCAACCAAACATCCGGAAGAAGTTGCCTGTCTCACTAATACCCAGTCAATGAAGACTTCAACAAACTACTCCTTATTTCCTAAAAGAATAGTCGCACATAAAATTTCCATATTTATAATAGTTTTAATACAAATTTCAAAATTCAATCTACACTATTTTTTAAAAAAATATATATATAATAAAAATTATCAGAACTATGAAAAAGGAAAGAATAAAGAATTTTATATCCAGCTAAAATAATTATCTTATTTATTGTATGAAAAAAAAAAATTTCTAAGGAATCATTCTAGGAGAGAGAACTCCATTATCATCTGTCGTAACAAATGATTGAATAACGCCATAGGGAAAAAAATAATAAAATTTCACGAGTATTACTATATACCTAACAATCTAACATTATAATACGCATGCAACCCTTTCCACATCACAACTACTACATTGCCATTAAATTATTAATAATTATGTATGTATTGAAAACTTCTACCAAATTTGTAGGAAAGATGAACATTGCTACATCTCTATAGAAAATTCAGTTTCTCAAGTTTGAAACGAAAGGAAGTCTACAAATCTCTGAAGGTGGGAAAATCACACCACAATTCTTCTTCTGCATCTTCAACCTGTCCATGTAGTACAAAATACTGAAATAGCCCACATTTCACAAACAAGAATCTCCGTCCAGACTCCAACCAGTCTCAAAACTTTCACTATCCGCTTTCCGTTCCATCCCACGGGAAAATTCTCCGTCCAATTTGTAGTGTATTACTAGTATTAAATTAGTCAAATCCGACTTATATGGGAGATTATATTTGAGTGTATGACAGTTTAGAAATAGTACGAGTATCTTATGGTTCCAATGGAAAAAAAAAGAAGAAGGGAAACACAAATAATTACAACACATTAATTAATTCACATTTAAGTATGCTTTGCAAAACAGGGTGTCAAAAAAAAAAAAGAGTTTTGGACTTGAAGAAAAAACAGAAGATTCCTGAATTTATCAATTGCCCAACTGCTAGTTCCTAACATTAACATGGCGGCCTAAAAGGAAAAAGATTTGAGTCTAAAATCTGGGAAACGTCACTATCCGAATCCTATATCAAAGTTACAGCTTTCCACTAAATTTCCACAGGAAACATGCCTCGCCCACACATCACCGATCAACGTTGTTCACGTTCTTTTCGCAATTTCTCAATGAATTGCCAACTTTTTGGGCGGTAAAGTGACGTCTTTCCACTAGCAATTCAGATGAAACTAATATACGTTAATTGCGTCCTCTGACCCAAAATGAAATTATACCATCAGAACATTAAGGCTTTGTTTGTTTCCTCTTTTTGTTGGTTTTTTCAATATTTAATATTAATAACTGTTTCATTCCATCACACCTTTTTACGATTTCAATACATTTTTTTATATTCTCAATATAAAAAATATCTAAAAACACATACTAAAAAAACGAAACAAAAGTATCATCGTGGACACAAAATAAAAAGGATCTATTTTTTTGTTTCAAAAAAAGGATCCATTTTTATATACTAAAAAGTTCCTACTGAATTTCGGCTGAATGGGTAAACAAATACTATGAAATTGCATGTGTACATTTTAAATAAATATTTCACCCACTGCAAACAGACATTCGGTAGTTAGTTAAAACTTAAATTAGTGAGAAAAGTATAGGAAAGAAGGGCTGCCGGGGAATCTGTGGTAGGTAAAGTCATTTCCTGAAAGTCAAGGTTGAATCTCAAAAGACCTTTTACACCCTTTTAAAAGATTATTAATAGCTTCCACTTATAAAAGACTCATAGTAACATTTGATCCTGGTACTGAAAGAAAAAATATCAGGAAGTTGAACAGTGGCTTAGTCGATCAGAAGAAACTTTGAAAGGGATGGAGAAAGCCATTTTCAGGCAAAAGGTTCTTCGGGAACACCTTCAACCAACTTCCACTTGTTTCTCTCAGACCCTCCAATCTTCTTCAATCTCTGTAAGTTGCAGCGTTAGTTAAGCAGCGGTTCTCTCTTTACCATTGATTTTGATGTTGAAATCTCTTCCAGTTAGAAATCTTTACTGGGTTTCGAAAATTTGTAAGTTGGGTTGGTAGGAATGGACGTTCTACGTACTAAACTTGAGTTAATTGAGTTATTGCCTTGATTGAAGATGACCAAGAAGTTGTACGCTCTTTCTTTTTTGGATTGATCTAAATCTATCATGTTGTAGTAATATCCTCTTTCCACTGTTGTTGGAGCACAAAAGGTTGTTTTTTTGGTCAATGACAAGTTATTACATCCGGTTATGCTGGGCCGATCAACAATTATTTTCTTCTTAATTGAATTTGCTAATTTGATCCAAGATTGTGAAACTTTGGTAGTGAGCACGTTTGCTCCAGATGTAAAATTTTTCTCCTTTTCCGGATAATGTTCTTCTAGCTCTACGTTGTAGTTTATGCATTCCCTTTATTGTTGTGGAGTTCTAAGTTGGTATTTTGAAGTTCCCATAAGGGCATTAAATGACTTTATAGGTAGTTTCATGGTGAAAGACATATTATGGATTTGGTTCTCATTCTAAAAATGGTAAATTCTTTTGCTGCCTCAGCCTTCAGCTTGTGCAGCTGGGGATAGCGCTGCTTATCACAGAACAGCTGCCTTTGGAGATGATGTAGTCATTGTGGCGTAAGTTGTTCTTATCATTCTATTTCTGTTTTCTATCATGTGTCAGTTGGACCCTGAACTTTGCATCTTTTGCGCAAACATTTTTTGTTTTCTGCAGGGCTTATCGGACTGCTATTTGCAAATCAAAACGCGGGGGCTTCAAGGATACTCAGCCGGATGATTTACTTGCTCCGGTTCTGAAGGTCTGTAAGGCTATCTCAAAAATGTGGAAATTGTTTTATATTTATTTTCTTCTTTTCCATTTTTCTTTATAATAAAATTTTAGAAATTAACAGCAAAGGTTTGCAAATACATTGCTCTAGATTGAGAAAGGTGTGAGTATTGAAACAACTCATGAGTAGTATTTTGCGTATTTTGAATTCGTTATCCTTTTATAGAACTTTTGATTGCAGAGTATCTCGTGAGTCTAGTATCTTTTTCTGTATGCAGTTAGCGTTAATCGTCTCTGATGCCTGTGTTTCACTCTTTCCAGGCATTGATTGATAAAACAAATATTAACCCAAGTGAAGTGGGAGATATAGTAGTGGGTACAGTGTTAGCTCCAGGTTCACAGAGAGGTATTGTATGCAGGATGGCGGCATTCTATGCTGGTTTTCCTGGTAGGTTGTTCCCCTCTCTCATTTTATTTTTCATATCAGAGACAGAAGCATGATCCTATGCATTGTTAGCCTGCATACGAGACTACACACAAAAAGTATATCCCCGGTGGATGATTTAACATATTTTTGGACTCCATCCTGTGACAAATGATTAAGTTCTTCCTCCTACAGAAACTGTGCCCCTCAGAACTGTCAACAGGCAATGTTCTTCAGGCCTTCAGGCCGTTGCGGATGTAGCTGCTGGCATTAAAGTTGGTTTCTATGATATAGGTAACTGAATGTCTGTTGACACGGGATCCGGGCTGGCTTCTTTTGTTACTAAATGTATTTATATCCTGTGCAGGAATTGCAGCTGGATTAGAGTCAATGTCATTTGATTACGGCCTTGCGCCAGTACAGCAGCCTAATCCTAGAGTATGCTCAATCTTTACATTCTTCTTGATCCCTTTGCTTTGATATTTTGATTTGTAGATGATATTCTAAAGCGGAGAGGTTTGTTACTAGGCTGAATCTTTCCCACAAGCTCGTGACTGTCTTCTGCCTATGGGGATGACTTCTGAAAATGTTGCAGAACGATATGGGGTGACACGGCAAGAACAGGACCAGGCTGCTGTGAGTAATTAATCAATCATCTTTGTCTAAGAAAATGTTTTATGCCTTCAATCAGAAAAGTTTTAACTCCCGAGGTTTGCGTTAATAGGTTTTGTCCCACAAGAATGCTGCTGCAGCATCTGCATCTGGGAAATTTAAAGATGAAATTGTTCCAGTGCTTACTAAGGTACAGCTAGAAATCTTGACAGCAATCCTGTCCGAAAACATATTTAAAGTAAAAACAAGAAAACAGCAGAATTATACAAATGTTCATCCTTTTGCATTCATGTATAATTCTTTTTTTTTTTTCTTTAATAACTCCTTTCTGAGTCAAATTACTCTTCAAGATCACTGATCCAAAGACCGGAGAGACAAAGGAGATAACTGTGTCAGTTGATGATGGAATTCGACCAAGCACAAATTTGGCAGATCTGGCAAAGCTAAAACCTGCATTCAAGAAAAATGGAACTACAACTGCTGGTGCTTAAAGTTCTTGCTTCTATTCAATGCCAATGTTTCAGCCTGCATGCTTTCATTATTTGTGTTAGGTCCTTTTAACCAAGTATTTTGACCTGATTTTAGGGACTTCTAGTCAGATAAGTGATGGTGCTGGAGCAGTTCTTCTCATGAAGAGGAGCCTAGCATTGCAAAAGGGACTTCCAATTCTTGGTACTTTCAGGTAATGCATCTCTGAAAGCATGTTTACAGTATGTCAGAAAAGAGACCTCCTATTACTTCTTGAATTCATTATTTTCCTCTTTATGATATGATTATCTGGCGTGTACCACATGCCAACCTCTGCACTTTACTTCTCTACATCAAAACTCTTGATGAATTTATCCAATCTCACTTGTATGAACTTCCACATTAGATTCAAAAGTAGTGTGTTATTCATGAACAAAACAAATATGGATGGGTGGATACAGTGAACAAGTATTTCATCAATTAACGTATTCACAGGGATTGTGTTGCTCAAGGAAGAAGTGTTTACTTTTTGTTCCATCTGAATGTCTGTGATCATTTCCCAAATGTTACATTCCGGCGCTAAGAAGACAATATAAGCATTGCTTATAACATGTTGTACAGGCCTATTTATTTATTAGGGTATCAGGAAAGTAGCTTAGTGGAGCATGCCTACAGTGTCTCAAAGAATAACCTAAAGTGTTTCTTCTGTAGGAGTTTTTCTGTTGTTGGTGTGGATCCAGCTGTGATGGGAATTGGTCCAGCAGTTGCAATCCCTGCTGCAGTCAAGGCTGCTGGTCTTGAAGTTAATGATATTGATTTGTTTGAAATAAATGAGGTGCTTTTTGTAGCTGATCGTTCACTAGGCTTGTACTTTTTTATTTTTCAATTTTGCATTTTCTTAATTTGGTTGTATTTGGCAGGCATTTGCATCACAATATGTATATTCCTGCAAGAAACTTGGGCTCGACCCTGAAAAAGTCAATGTTAATGGAGGAGCAATGGCTCTTGGACATCCTCTGGGAGCAACAGGTACACTTGTATTATACCACTAATTTGTAAGCCTTAATCCATATTCATAATTTACAAAACACTTGTATTCCCCCACTAATTTTTGAGGCGACTTCTGCTGTATTTTCATCTCTGCTAGGTGCTCGTTGTGTTGCCACATTACTGCATGAAATGAAGCGCCGGGGCAAGGACTGTCGTTTTGGTGTGGTTTCTATGTGCATAGGTAACTGCTTTCTCCATAATGGATACGCACAAATTCTAAATGCCAATTACTAATGAGATGGGTTACACTGTTACGCTTGCTCGTGATAAACTAACTGGCTTTTTCTTCTAACATAAATAGGCTCTGGGATGGGAGCTGCTGGTGTCTTTGAAAGAGGGGATTCTGCAGATGATCTCTGCAATGCTCGCCCTTGCAACAATGTTTTCCTGTCCAAGGATGTCAAGTGAACATCTCTTTAATGTTCCCGGCTTTTACCACACATATTCCAATGGTAAAACAGTAGCAAATTTCTTTTCTGAGATGTGAAAGAGTTTAAGTAACAGAATCAAGTCTGTAATCTGTACGTTCAGAACATATTCATAAATATATATGGTGTTGAAATTTCCACTCAACGCTCACCTTTCAAGTTCATTCAGACAAATTATTCTGCAGGCCTGATTTGTTATCAAGTTAATTATTCTAAGGTTGAGATTGAAATCTCGGAGTGTTAGGTCCAGTTTTAAGCTGCGACTTTCATCAAAAAAGCAAAAAAAAAACCGAGTACGTGAAACATGAATTGCAATATTAAAAAATATGTCAGAAGTGGGATTTGAACCCACGCCCTCTCACGAGGACCAGAACTTGAGTCTGGCGCCTTAGACCACTCGGCCATCCTGACTACATTGTGTTTGCTTGCAAACCTTATTATTAGTTATTACCGTTCTCATTTATATAGAAACAAAAATAGTTATTGAGTATTTCTTTTTTCTTATTTTGCTTTCTGAAGAATTCTAACTGAAACATCCAGTCAAAATATGATCAATCAAAATTAGGCACATCCTACTATCCTAGTAATCATGTTGAGTCCCTATCCAGTGCACCCGGGTATACCGTATACCCCCAATCACACGCGCAACACGCGCTCAACTGTTTTTACATTTACATTAAATGCACACAGAAAATTTTTTTCATCCATTTTATCCTCACGCATAAACACACACAAACACACAGTCGACGGAAACTCTCCATTTTAGGGCAAATACAAAATTGACCACCACCACAAAATTACACAAAATCGACGGAAAATCTATGTTGGAAGACGATTTTGATAACTTCATCTTCTCCTGCGTTTTTTCCTTTTGTCAGTTTGTTCTTTCACAAACCCACACACACACACACAGACGACGGTGAGAAACCCAAGCTCCGGCCATCTCAAGCTCTCCTTCATCTATACATGCTTCACTGGTAAGTATATTACTCCGGGATCCTATTTTTTTGATTATCCAGCAATATCGTGTGTGTATCCACTAGATCTGAACTATTTATCCATGGTTTCCTCCGTATGCTATGTGATCGTTGTCCATGCCATAATCTCTAGTTATCCATCTATTTCATACTGACATTTGTTATCTACCTATTTCATTCTGGTTATCCACAAGTTGTAAAGTGGTTATCCAGAAGTTGTAAAGTGGTTATCCACAAATTGTAAACTGGTTATTCATGCTTTTTTTACATTTTATTCTATATGGCATGGACAAACTGAACTGGTTATCCATGTTTTTGTGTTTTTTTGTTACTGGTTTAGGGTTTAGGGTTTAGGGGTGCTTGTCCAAACTTTGTTTTTGGTTATACATCCATTTAATAATTGTTATCCGCATGGTGTAAACTGGTTATCCATTGTTTTGTTTTTAGATGTGCTTTTATGTGGCTACGTCCATACATTATTTGCTGGTTATCCACCCATTTCATACTGGTTATCCACAAGTGGTAAACTGGTTATCCACAAGTTGTAAACTGGTTATCCATGCTTTTTTTACATTTGATTTTATATGGCATGGACAAACTGAACTAGTTATCCACTATATATCTGAACTGGTTATCCAAGTTTTCCTGCGTGTGTGCTATGGGGTGCTTGTCCAAACTTTGTTTCTGGTTATCCACCCATTTTAACTTGGTTATCCGCAGTGAGTAAACTGGTTATCCATTGTTTTTTTAGATGTGTTTTTATCTGGCTACATGTCCATACTATATTAGCTGGTTATCCACCTATTTCATACTAGTTACTCCTTTTTTGATTACTACTCCTTTTCATATCCTGCTATTTTGTCCAATGACTTCTTACTGATTGTGCAATGCCAACAGTGCCCTAAAGGAGGCTAGAACAAAATATAGGCACGAGTGGATCAGCGCAAGCCACGACCTCAACTGCAACCCAGACAGATCACCGGATCCTGAACCAGAGAAAATAATGGAGCTCCCTGAAGGAACACTGACCATATTTAAAAAACAAAAATCAACCCAAGAAGAACAAGAAGAACAGTCCCCTATACAAACTCCAAGGCCCCACAACTTGTGGAGGAAACCAAAGAGGAAGAAGAACACACCGACATGAAATCCAAAGCAACTTGTGGTTGCTGATGACAACGATGATAAAAAGCCCAAAAAGAAAAGAACGAAACCTGAGAACAACAAACTAATGATTGGTCAAGATCCACAGCCAATCAGTTCTGAAGATTCTGTCAAGAAATTTGAGACAAGGATGACACCGAACCATCTCTTCCAACTCATCACTGAAATCAATAAACCAACAGATCTTAAGGAAGAGCCAGATGCGGTAGATTATCGCCAACTACAAAGGCAGGCTATCAGAGATATGGGATTTAGTGCCTTGCTGGATCTCAAAATAAAAATATTCCAACAGCCTTATGTAATTTTCTGGCAAACAATTTCCAGACCGGTGCAAGACAAGTCCCATTGAATGGGAACAATGTACTAGATATCAAACAGGAAGATGTTGTTGCTGTACTTGATCTTCCTCATGGACCCAAACCAGTGGAAGAATTCAAACAGAATGATCCCTCTATAACGGACCACGCTGAGATGGTGGATGCATTCAAGAAAAGAATGGGATACAGTAATAAATTCCTGCCAACGAGATCCACGGCGGCACAATTAATTGCTGGTCGAAAAGATTTTGGTGATGACTTCAAACGAGATTTCGTTGTCTTCGTTGTGAGCACATCCTTACATGGAAACACCACTTCCAGGATCACAATGAACATCCTAAAGTCCCTCGTGAACATCAATGAAGTGACGCAATACAATTGGTGTCAATATGTGATTGATGCACTGGTGAAAGGATGCAAAAGTCACCACGATGGGAAACCATTCACCGGACCAATCACTTTTTTCCTGGTACATACCATATCCGTACAAATTTTACTAGTTATCCGTATTGCTTGCAATGTTTATCCAATTTGCTTGTACTTGTCTGATGTGATTGTACTTGTCATCCAACTAATTTGTACTGCTTATCCAACCCCTTTTCTCCCTTTAAATGGTTATCCATTGTGTTCCTGCCGATTATCCAGCCTATTTGAACTTATTATCCACTTCATTTGAACTGGTTATCCAATCTGTCTAATTTGTACTGCTTGTACTGATATCATTAACACCAACTTTTTTTTTTGTTAGTTGTGCTACCTTGACAAGTGTGAGTATGAGAGAGCACATCCGAGGTCATTCCCTGTGATCAAATCTTGGGATCAAAAGATGCTGGACGACAGAATAAGACTTCAGGGAAGCAATTTCACAGATATCCAGACACTTGAACATCTCAAGAAACCGTCCTCAGCAGCATCCCGAGATGAACAACCAGAGGCTGAATCACAGGAGGATACACAGGGAAACCCTAACACACAGCAAGTCTATGTACTGTTCTATCATTTTTTTCAGATCAAACTTACGTATCCAACCTAGCATCTCCACATTCCACTAACTACATTCACTTTTGCAGGACCTTGCTGCTCTTTATGAAAAATTCTACCAATTGATTATCACGATGAGCAAAACTGTTTTAGACATTCGTGAGAAAGAAATGGAGTTAAAAATCGAACCAGGTGAACAAGCAATGCAAACAATCAAGATCCTAACAGATGCAATGGTGTCGATGAGTAGAAAGATGCCTCCATCTTCAGGTAGAACGCAACAGGAACAAGAGCAGTAGCAAGACCAGCAAGACCTCCAGGATGCACAGATTTGTGAATTGTGCGAGGTGGCATGGAAGTCCGCTGAAAGCAGATTTGCAACAATCATAGAACAGCTGCAACGACAAGTAGCTGACCAACAACAACAACAACAACAACATCAACAAACTGATGACAACACTGTACAAGCTCCAATTAATCCCACAAATTTTCAAGACATTGAAATTGACAAAACACAGGGACTGGAGCAATTGAGCCAGACAAATGATGAGGCTTCTCTTGTAGTGGGGAAATCCGTGCCTACTTCAAAAGAAGTGGTGGTTGATGAACAACAAACTCAACCACAAGGGGCACAGGGACTGGATCAATTGAGCCAAACAAATGATGAGAATTCTCTTCCAGTGGGGAAATCCGTGCCTACTTCAAAAGAAGTGGTGGTTGATGAACAACAAACTCAACCACAAGGTAATGAATATTTTTTTAATGAAACAAATACTTTTCTGATGTGATTGTACTTGTCATCCAACTAATTTGTACTGCTTATCCAACCCCTTTTTTTCTCTTTAAATGGTTATCCATTGTATTCCTGCCGATTATCCAGCCTATTTGAACTGGTTATCCACTTCATTTGAGCTGGTTATCCAATCTGTCTAATTTGTACTGCTTATCCAACCCCTTTTTTTCCTTTAAATGGTTATCCATTGTGTTCCAGCCCATTATCCATCCTATTTGAGCTGATTATCCAATTCGTTTGAACTGGTTATCCAATGTGTCTAATATATATGTATGTTCGTATTGATTATCCAACATTCCAACTTTGTACTGAAGAACATGCAACAAATATCTCCATAATAGAAAAGAAGAGATCCCATCAAGATTCCACCGGCCGGGATTCAGGTGTGACATCCACCTATACCAAAAGGTCGAGAAGCACTGGTACCAGGAAAAGGAAAGTATTCAAAGACCCAACTATCCCACACTTTAACCTGGGTATCTTTTTCAGTTAGGAAGACAATTACGATACAACCCAGGAGAAGAACACTCAGGAAGATATCACAGGAAGTGTTGATTTGGATAAAGATGTTAATGAGACTATAGAAGCAGAAGAATATCCAGTACCATCTGCACTCGACGAAACAAAGAATCCCACTCCTTCCATCGATGAAATCATAAGAAGGGCCAGTGCACCAGCTTTAGAATCATTAAGTGATACCAAAAAACTAGAGATGATTGCGGCTGTTGCAGAACAAGTTGAGAAAAACCCAAAGGTGGTTGAAGCAGTCCCTTTAAGCATAATTCCACGCGATTGGAATATTACTTCTACCACGGGTGGTCTACTCATGCTGGACAAAAATGAGTGTACCATGCCACCGCCTGCAATCTCAAAGAAAGCTGATGTACTTGATGAAAGGTTAACAAAGACAGTGGAAAAGTAAGTTTGATCCACTGTGACTCCTCACTACAAAATAGAAAGAAGAATTTACATACTAACTCTCTTTTGTTTTGTCCTAGGATCCTCAATGAAAAACCTAAGAGGAGAAATCCACCAAGGGTCCACCGGTTGCCCGAACGGTTCAGGTCGCCGTTTATGCTGTAGAAGAAAAACAAGAAAAAATTCATACAGTGGACATAGGAGAAGAAGAAAATGACGCAAGAAGAAGCCTTGTTGATAGACTTCGCTCTCTTGCAGAGACAAGAAGAAATAGTTAAATCAGGGTAAAAGTCATCATTCTTACCCGTGGGATAAAAAACTTACCAGTTTTCCAACTATTTGTCTATTTGACTACTTTTTCTATGCAGGAATTTCTTGTTTGAATTTGGAAAAATCGTTTGGGCAGACAAGATAGCATTCTATTCCATGGGGGAAGGGACATGGATAGAAAACAACATCATAGATGCTTGGGCTGTCATCCTAAACAAAGAAGAAGCTAAGAGTGACTCCCCAAGATGGATATTCTTTGGTGTTTCCTCATTTGTAAGTCAACTAAACCCTTATTGTTTATCATGCCCTGGTAAAATACTTGTCACATGTCTGAAAGTTGTTTATCCAAAGGCTTTCTACTAGTTATCCAGCCATAACGGGTGGTTATCCACAATCTATAAACTAGTTATCCGGCCATAATTACTGGTTATCCACAATGTGTAAACTAGTTAGCCATGCCTTTTTTTAGTTGTGCTTCTATGCGGCTGCTTGTCCATACATTATTTTCTGGTTATCCATCATTGTTGTATAACTTACCTACCTATAAGTAATCATCAGGAAGATCACGCATGACCACTAACACTTATTATCCAATTTGTTACTAATGCTTGTCCATCAGAGTTCAACTGGTTATCCAAGCCTTCTATGTGGTGGCTTGTCCATGATTCATTTGCTGGTTATCCATTTGTTCTGTACTACTTATTCACAAGATCTGAACTGGTTAACCATTTCTTCTTGTTTGTCATCTAGGGTACTTTTGGTTGACCTTGTATGTGCTTGATTTCGATCATTGTTTTCTACTGCATTTTTCAACCATTGTACTGATCATTGTATCATTTTCCAACCACCTCAAACAATAACGCAGGATACAATCAATCGATACTACCAATCAGGCAGTAACAAAGAGGAAATCGAGTTTACATTCTATGAGAGGTTGGCTCTTGAACTAGAAGAACAAGGCCTCAGTGTAGCATCCCTGATAGCGGCAAAAGCTGTAAGCAACATCTTTCACCTCCTTCACTCTTTCTATAACTGGCTGTTAAAAAATTTTCATATGATTTCCCCCTTCAATGTGAAAAATCAGATCTACTTCCCAGTATACTACCGAGACCATTACTTCTTGTATGTGTTGCTAGTTGAAGAAAAGAAAGTGATTGCATTCAACAATCTTCACGCAAAAGATCTGGACTACTACAAGCCAACAAAAGATATACTTGTGAGTGAAAAAAAGATACAAAATGATTGTCATACTTTAAGAATTATCCATTGCATTTTGCTGATCCTTGGATTTTATGGCATCACAGTTTCGGTTCTTCCAAATGTTCCTTCAATGCGTGTTTCCACACATAGAACTGGTCACTGCTCAGTACACCTTGACAGAGGTTACGCTACCATCACACAAGGACAAAATGCCGAATACGGAAGATTGTGGAATATACACAATGCACCACATAGAGTGGTATGATGGTGGTGAGTACGAGGACGGTACTGTTTTGGATTTCAACACAGGAAACATCAAAGAGTACCGGTGGAAATACATGTTAAAAATCCTTATGCACCCATCCAACAAAAATAAGGACAAAATCCTCGAAGCAATGCACCAGTTCTATACAAATACTGCTGAAGAAGAACAAAAAGAAATTTCAGATCATGTTGATTTGAGCAGCAAATCTTACTACAATGACAGAAAAATTCAGGGATGGGTTAAATGAACTGTCATTATGTTCTCTTGTATAATTGATTGACTATTGATCCTAAAGTGTTTGATATCCAACAACTGTTTAATGGTTATCCAGGATCTTTCTACTAGTTATCCAACTTGTTACACCTGATTATCCGAATGTTTTATAGTGATTATCCAGTCAAAAAAAATGCAAGTACATTCTTTAACCTGATTATCCAAAAACATAACAGAAGAAAATATCCCATAAGAAAATAACAAGACAATGTATTTTGGTTGTCCAAATATTTCTGTAAATTCCCAAACAACAAAAACTGAGTGTCCCAATTTTGTTGGTCTTTCTACTTCTTTATTAAACTGCTTATCCTATGATGTTATCCTGCTTATCCAATATTTCTTTGCTGATTATCCAATGCTCTGAATTGATTAAACTGCTTATCCTATGATGTTATCCAGCCATAACGGGTGGTTATCCAGAGATAATTGCTCGTAATCCACAATGTGTAAACTAGTTATCCAGCCATAACCGGTGGTTATCCAGAATGTGTAAACTAGTTATCCAGCCATAATTGCTGGTTATCCAGAATCTGTAAACTAGTTATCCGGCCATAATGGGTGGTTATCCACAATCTGTAAACTACTTGTCCATACCTTTTTTTAGTTGTGCTTCTATTCGGCTGCTTGTCCATACATTATTTTGCTGGTTATTCATCATTGTTGTATAACTTACCTACCTATAAGTAATCATCAGGAAGATCATGCATGACCACTAACACATACCCAAACAACAAAAAATATAAAATAAGAGACACTCTTAATCATGGAAATGATCAAAATAATAATAAAACTATTGACAAACTGACCTCCTCCATAATACCTCAAACTCGATTTCTGTTGAAGTGTATTTCATCAGATAATTAAAGTTCTTAACAAAATCTGGCTTGTTCCTTAAATGACCAATTCGCTTTCTTGAATTTTCACCTATGTGTCATACACAGAGACGATGCCGAGAACTTGAAAAACATGTCCGAATACTTGCAGCAATGGAAGGTGCTTGATCTGTCATTATGGTTTGTGGCTGCTTATCTCCCATTGATTTCAAAAACTACTTGAACAACCAATCAAAAGAGGGTTCTTTCTCGTTTAACACAAAACCACAACCAAACATGACATTCTTGTTATGATTATCCATACCCACAAACGGAGCACAGATCATTCCATATCTGTTTGTTCGATACGTAGTATCAAACACAAGCAAGTCACCAAACAAATCATAATCCTTTCGCATTCTGCCATCCCTCCAGAAGAAAATACACAGCCTACCCTGCTCATCACAGTCAAAATCAAAGAAGAAATCTTCTTCAGTTTCCTTCATGTCCCAAAAATCTTCATGAGCTGATTACAATTGCCACCTTCAAATCCAACACCAGGACGCTCATAATTGTAGGCATCTCTCAAAGTATACTTCATGTTCGGACTTCCCCCGTGTAATTTTGCCACAAACTTATATGCATCAACCAAAGGGATGCCACTCCTTGTCATGTCTCTGATTATCTTCATATCATTTTCATCTACTTCACGTTGAAATCGAAAAAGTCCAATCATTTCATTCGACACAAGATAATGATTGTGATTAACCAGATGCTTTGTACAGGTCCACAAGTCATCTTTGTCAACAGTAAAATGGATATAAACTGGACACCCACACCGAAAATTAATCCTCTCATGGCACACATCACCATTTCCACCGGATCTCTTGTATCCTTCGCGGTTACAACAGAATTTCTTCATCCTAACTTTATCAGTCTTATCTCGGAACTTCTGTTTTCCCGCTCTCACACTAAAACCAATCAATCGGGCATGTATACAAATCATAAGCTTCTTTCTCGCTTCTTGCAGTCTTGCCAACTAAAGTAAAAACAGCCAAATCATTATTCTTCGTCACAAATGAAATTTCCTTGTGCAAGGCATCCTCCTCCACCATCACATTATCAACTCCCAATTCATTGTCGCTATTATCTTCTCCACATTCTGAGAAAAACAAAATAGATGGTTGGATAACCATTACCATGCAGTCGGATAATCAGTATTAACACAATGGATAAACAAATCAAAAAAAAAATTAAACACATATAAACAAGTTAGAAAACCTACCCTTTAGAGCAGATGTAACTTCCATGCGCAAAGCATCATCCAACATCACATCATCCCCCAACTCATTGATATGGTTATCTTTTACAAAAAATGAGACAAACAGAAAAATAAAAAAATTTTTTAAAAAAATCTTTGATACACCAATTCAATATAAACAACTCAAAAATATTGGATATTCAGTACGATTCAGTTGGATATCCAGCAAATAAAATTTAGATACGCATGTAAATCAGTTAGATAACCAGTACACATAAGCTGGATATCCAGCACAAACAAAGTGGATATCCAGTACAAACATTTTGGATATCCAACACAGCATAACTGCTTATCCACTTCATACAACATTAACAAAAACAGAACTGTGAAAAAACTAAATTGATTATTCTCTCACAAACAGTACACTCCGAACTGTGAAAAAATCAATATAAACAACTCAAAAATGTTGGATATCCAGTACAAATCAGTTGGATATCCAGCAAATAAAATTTGGATATGCATGTAAATCAGTTGGATAACCAGTACACATAAGCTGGATATCCAGCACAAACAAAGTGGATATCCAGTGCAAACATTTTGGATATCCAACACCGCATAACTGCTTATCCACTTCATACAATATTAACAAAAACATAACTGTGAAAAAACTTGATTGATTACAGTACACTCCGAAACCTATACAAACCTGATTCCAGCTGATCTACAACAGAACTGTGACCTTGCGTTGATTTGCTGGCACAGTAAGATTGTTCGATGGATTTTCTACCACTACATTCCGCATTCATCAACGACATAACTCATCACTCGATCTGAATCAGCACATCGTCGATCCAATCACCGTTTCGCCACTCTGGTGGAATCGGAGCCTTTCCTCGATCGCTGAACGTCGTCGCCGTCTCAACGACTCGATCGCCACCGGCCATGTCCACCTCAACGCCTCGATCGCCGACTCCCATTGCCGCCTCAACGCCTCGATCGCCGCCGGCCATCGCCCATCAATAATACTCTATCACAAAATTTTCCAAATTTGAATGAATTCGGTTATTTATATAATCTCGCGTTTAAAAAAAGAAAAAAAAAAGAAAGCTAAATTATAATGACGGACTAACGCTATTGTAAGAGAATAAGGTACATGTGTATGGGGGGACACGGTACCCCCGGGTGTACCAGATAATTTACCATCATGTTGTGAGAAATATTTTAACAACTCCTTATCAATCTGTAACTTGTTGCTAATCAATGAATTTCTCTTTTTTTTCTTTTTTTTTTTACCTCACCGAAGATAAAAGAAGCACATGTAAATCGTCTTGATAATTAATTTAAGGGCTATACAAATATGGATTGATTTCGTTGCCTCTCCCATTCATGATGCATAGTAGTATAATTGTTAAAGTTTTGCATAGAGATTCAAGAACTCTTTCTCATTACCGAACTAGTAAATATCGAGGGTAAACCAACCGTTTTAGACAATTAGAACTTGTTCTCTGATTCTTATTAAACTTCCTAAAGCTTTTTTTCCCCTCTCTACATCATCAAATTCAACAAGAAGCTAAATTCTCATATTCTCATCAAGCTACATCAGGGCGGTAAATTAGTTTTGGGAAAAACTTTGTTCTGGCTATCTGCGGGTTGACGTCGACGAATTGGGACATGGAAAATGGATTTGCGGAGATTATTTCACAAACAAAATCAAACCATTACAAGAAAAATGAATTGGGACATTGGAAAATGGATTTGCGGAGATTATTTCGCTGTTTTCCAGTATCATGATGACCTTCAGTTTCAATCAAATTAAACCATCCTATATTTCAACATTGAAAAGTTCATAAAATTCAGAGTTAATTAATTCATGAAAATCCAAACAGGTGGTTTTGGCATGCCCCCGTTTTGCACCTGCCGCCATGTAAAATGAAAGCCGACGGAATTGAACTTCAATCGTTCCACCCGGCTTTAGGACTGCTAATTCGGTCGGTTCGGATGAATTCTGTTCGGGTTAATTGGATTTTTTTCCCCTCACAAGACTCGCCCGAAACCAAATCGATAGATTAATCGAACCGAACCAAACCGACCAATTAAGCAATGTTGACCCGATTAATGAGCAGTCGACCCAATTCACCCGAATCAACTTCTGTTCGGGTGGCTCGTCGAGTTGACCCGATTAATGAGCAGCCCTGTTCAGTTTCGTACTGCAGAACAATCAGAAGATATGAATGCGGCTCGAATGTTTTGTGATTTTGTGTTATGGCTGACTAGTTCGATTGGCTACCGGTAATTTTATAATTATCTTGTGCAATTGAGTGTATTTTCCTTTTGAAACTCCCTTGGTTCAATCTAATGGTTGCGGTTGATTATATCCATCCAACGGTTATTAATATGTAACTGAATTATTCAGTCGATAGTCACTCCCTTATTTTTTAAATATTACCTTTATCAAATGTTATCTCTGCTATTTTATTCTCTTATTAATTTTTTTCCTTTCTTTTATTTAAACTTTCGCTCGCCCCCCTCTATCAAAACCATTTTCAAGGAGTAAAATTTGCACATTAACTCCATTCTCAAATCCCATGGATTATACATGCAACAACAAGGATACAAGAAAATTTTAATATGGAGTTAATTTTTCAACAAAAGGTACTGTTGGTGTACAAACAAACGGCTTGAAGTAGTTAAACCGTAGCTCTAGTATAATGTAATAAGGGTTTTATATCCATGTAATATGACCATTTTATTGGAAGTCTTGTGCCTTCTTCATTGTAGAAAAAAAAATGAAATTAGATTTTTTGCATGCCCATGTGCTAATTAAATCTCCCAATACATTAAATAGTAAAAGTCGATTTTTTATTAATTGATGAGAAAAGGGGTTCATTAACTCAAGCAAAA